CCCCCCCCCCCCCCCTTAAAGCCCCATCCATCTCCCCCTTCTGCTATCATCATATCTTTTTTTTTTTGGAAAAAATGACATGTTCCATTACAGTGTCTCTGATAACATAAACCACTTTGACAGCTCTGGTATGTTTTTCCATTGTAATGAGTGATTCACTAATGATTAGATTATATTCCTTTGTGGAGTTTCTGGAGTCCAAGTCTGTGTCCATGCTGGGTGAGTGTTTTCAATACAGTAACAGTCTGCTAACTGACCCCTGCCTTCTCCAGGTCAGCGCATCTCCCAGCTGTGTGCGAGCGGTTATGAAGATGATGTACTGTCCCTACTGCTCGGGCCAAGTGGCCTTGAAACCCTGCCAGAATTACTGCCTCAATGTGATGCGTGGGTGTTTGGCCAACCAGGCCGACTTGGACACAGAATGGAACAACTTCCTCGGTTAGTGACAAGGACACCTACTGCAGCTGTTATTAAACAAACCTGACCATGAATGCACCCTGTTAGATTCAGAAATGTTTGATTTGGCTCTTTTACAAGTTGCCACTGCAGTGCTCATATTTTACCAAAGATCATTAAAATTTTATCTAAACTAACCTAATCCAATCCAGTCTTATCTAAACACTCTTTTATTTTTGTGGGTGTGAACCATTGTAATGTGACAGGGTTGGTGGGATAATGTAACTGGGGTAATTAGATAAGAGATTTTTTTTCAGTGTATTCATAGGGTTTATTGGTTTGGTAAGAACATGTTTAACAAATGGAGACATCTTGCTGCACAGCAGCTTGTCTTGTCTGGCTGGTTAGAAACCTTCTGCTTGCAAGCATTTGCTTCCCCCTAGTGGTAGTTTTGTGTAACACCCACCTTAGGCAGAAGAAAAATGCATACATTTTCTCATGTTTTAAATTTTATTCTCTTCTGCTTTTCAGATGCCATGCTTAGTTTAGTTGAGAGGCTCGAAGGTCCCTTTAATTTTGAGTCTGTCATGGATCCCATTGACGTGAAAATCTCAGAGGCCATCATGAACATGCAGGATAACAGCATGCAAGTGTCACAGAAAGTCAGTGTCATTTTACGTTTTTTTTAAAGTAAAAATTAATAAGAATCTGTTCCTCTTGCTTGACTTTATTCTTGTTCACCTCTGCCAGGTTTTCCAGGGCTGTGGGCAGCCTAAACCAAGCACGGCCTTCCGTTCCAAACGTTCTGTCAAAGAAACTGGCTTTACTGCCCGTTTCCGCCCATATAGTCCTGACGCTAGACCCACAACCGCCGCTGGGACCAGCTTAGATCGACTGGTAAGGTCTAAGAAAATGGATTTTTCTTATTAATGCACATCAAAATCTAAGAGCTGGTCATTGCACTCATTAAATAATAATGAAGATAACTGCACACCTTTAAGCTTCTATAGTGTATTAATATAACCAGTGTTTCCACCAAACCCAGCCTTGAAAAGAAACAGGTTTGGTTGAAACTTCACTTATATTCCAACATTATTGAAGCTTGTTGTTCAGTCCTCTTCATTATTTCTAAAGGTCTAACAAAACACAGAGCACAGCCAGATTAGGGGCACTTTGTTTTAAAGTGTTGTGTCTGACCTGTTCTGACTGTTTCTGCTTAGACAAATGATGTGAAGAAGAAGCTAAGACATGCAAAGAAGTTCTGGTCCACATTGCCAGAGACCGTATGTACAGGTGAGAGGATCGCATCTGGGGATGAGTGCTGGAACGGAACAGCAAAAAGCAGGTAAGACACACACATCTATATGAAATGTTCATCACATGGTAATCTGAGATCCCAACTAACTGACTCTTGCTGTACATAGGTACGAGTCAGTTGTCATTGGCAACGGATTGGCCAATCAGGTGTCAAACCCTGACGTAGATGTGGACATAACAAAGCCAGACATTGTGATTCGCAGTCAGATTGCAGTTTTGAAAGAAATGACAAGCTGGCTTAAAGCTGCACACAGCGGCAATGACATCTCTGTCGATAATGGTGAGGATGGGAAATGTTCTTTAGGATTTTTTTTGTGACATAATGTCCTAGTTGTACACGTCTGACTTTTTTGTCTTTGTTTTTCCAGATGAGGGTGAGGATAGCAGCGGAGGAGAGGAGAGTGGCAGCGGCTGTGACACTCCATCCTGCGACAGAGACCGGGACATGTACTTTTCCACTCCACCCAACTCTGACAATCCTCCAGTTATTAAAGTAAGGAAACAGTCGGCAGCTGGGGTTGCCACACAGGGAAGCATGGCGCTGGCGCTCTTCGGGCTGGCCCTGGCACTGCTTGCTCCCCACTTGAGATAAAACTGGCTTGGCAGGGAGAGGAAGAGAATGACCAGGAGTGATGGAGCGATGGGGGGGAACTGTCAGAGACTTTAAAAAGACTGCCTTCAGGACCTTGGACTGTCCACCGTTGGGGGGAAGACACTTCTTAATATTACAATAATTTCACTTTTAATTATTTGTTTGTATTGTTTTTTTAGGACATCAGTGTACAGCGATATGATTTTCTTCTTTCATTTTTCTACCCCCACCGGGATAAACCTTTACTCCATATAGCTCTTTTGGAGCCAACGCTTGCAGCATTACAAACATTATATAATTGTCTTGTTATGGCAATTTAATCTGATGATTCATATGTGTTCCTACCTGAACAATTGCCATCTGGTAACCAATTAGTACGTGAGATATTTGGTTGAACATTGAGTTCCTGTGGTGGGACATGTCCTCATAGTTCTAAGGATGTTCTTATTTTCCATTATTGAGAGATCAACAAATATGGTGTTGTGAACTGTTACCGTTCACAACACCCACTTTGCACATTATGAATGTGCATTCTGTGAATGTTTGTTTGTGAATGTGCATTAATACATTTACATACATCAGCCAGTCAGAAATTATGAAGCTAGCTGTTGCATTTCAGCTAAGGAATACTTTGAGCTTTAGCTCATTTTTACTTTGCAGTGGTGTTAAAACTCCTCAGAGCTGCAGAACATAGCTCATCTCTCAAATACAGCAAGAGAAGTTGCAGCACAGGTAATAATAATGTTAACCTGAAGATGGAATCTTTCTTTAGAAGAGCTCCTGTGGCACTCTGCAAGCCCAAACATACTTAATTGTATGTCTGCTATAAGCATTATCTCAACCTAGCTTATAATGTCCTCATTAGTTTCTAATTTAATTTGTTCACCTTAAACGCTTCAGTAGTAAGGACATACCTCATGCATGCTCTCAGTGTCAATGCAATCTAGTGATGCCGAGTTGAAAGTGTCTGATGGAGTTGAGATATGTGGCAGTGAGACATAACTGGCATGGAAGGGGAAGGACTCCCCTGGCATTACCCCTAAAGAAGGCAAAGCTGACAAATCCTGAAACCCCTTTTTGGTACTGCAAGCTCAGTTCAGCACAGAGGACCTGACTCTGTACAGTCTTACTGGTTGAAATGAATTGGTGTTGACATTTATGTTCAGAGCATTTGATATTAAACTAGAGAAAAGGAACAAAAGACAGTGCTTTGATTAAATAAAAGGAAGATAAATAGTTTACTACAGGGTTTTATGTTAAAGAGGCGTCTCAATTTTTAGCTGGTTTTGGTATGAAGATTTATATTAGGTACTACAGTGGATTTCACTGCTAGTTTTAGGTGGTGGAAGGGGACTGTGCACAAAACATGGGGACACTTTTTTGGTCAGTTTGCCCAGGTTTTGGGGCTTTTTTTGGCCCACATCCCCTGTCCCACAGTCTACAGTTGTACCTCCTAAATGACCTTTGTCAGTATAAATGGACTCATCCTGATCCATTTGATCTACTTATCCTCATCCTCATGTTCTCATTATTTCAACTCATGGTGGAATGCTGAAGTATTGTCACAAATGCCACAAAAATTACTGCTCTATATGGTGCCTGATATTTTTTATAACCTTGGTACGTTATTAGCAGCTTCCTAAGGTAAAAAAGAATGTAGATATTTATATCTCTCTGCTCCAATTGCCTGAGCAGAGTGTACTGTTACCATCTGACAAGCACAACACAAGATTTTTTAATGTTTTCTAATTTGATAATCAAAGTCTGTAAGTTGCATTACCTAACCAGTTTCTCTCTTAAGTGATGCTGTCTTATGTAGCTTTTGTACAGTAACTTATGGATGTGTTCAAATATGCTTTTAGAGCTGACATAGATTATCCAAAAAACAGTATTCAGAAGGTTTTAGTACTCAAAAATTAGGCAAAAGATTCATTCAGTTCAGATTCTTTAAGATCTGGGAACTTTAAATATCTGTTTCATAATTGCCTGCAGATCAAACCATTGGCTGCAGATAGGACGTGGTAAATTCTGGAGACAACCTTTTGCTTCTTGTTTGGCTTCGAGATTTCCAGGTTGATTGTAAGCCTACATGAAATGTTCTCCAGAAAAGTGATGTTCCCTAATAACAGACTTGGAACAAATCAACAAGGACAACAATATTAAGAATTGGATGTTGAAAGATTTGATGAAACATCTATGCAACCCGTATAAAATACTGAAGCCTTCATGTGAAATAATGAGGTTGTGCTTCAGCTGCCTGGTTTGACATTATTTCTGCATATAACTGGTTCAGTTCTCCTGATTTTTGTGTTCCACCAACATTTCTACAAGGGTTTGTGCATGTGGAAGAGTTGGGTCAAGTGTGAAGAAACCCAGCGTGTTGGGTAGATGTCTGTGCTTTCGGGCCAGGGCAGCAACATTTTCCAGCTGGCAGGAATTGGTTCAGCTGCTTGATGTTCATTTGATCCACAGAGCAAATTCAGTCTAATGACTTTAAAGTTGAGTTGGACAGGTGTTGAAACCTTCCCATCTGCCTTTGGCCCACAAGAACAGAAAGGACTCACTTTCTGAGGAAATGGTGAGAGACTTGACTGAAAAGAATTTTAAAAGAAAGTGTAAATAAAGAGCAGCCCTTTTAGATGTCTCTAAAAGAGGCAGTAACCTACACCAGATTTTTACTTGTCAGAGTATCTCCTAAATGTTATGGAAAAACAAGATGAGATAGATGTTAAATTGTAAGAGAAAATGTATATTAAACAACATTTCTTAGTCTTGTTGAAATAAAGACTGCCGATATTTAAACTCTTGTGGTCTCATTATCTCTGTGCTCTTGAGAGTGTAATATATTTGGATGGTCCACTTTTGTTTTTTGTTTTTTTGTTTTCATTTTTTGGGTAAGTGTCACAGCAGTGTGAAGAGTAGTAAACAGGTTGAATTTTAACATTGGAGTCAAAACTGATGAACAATTCTGTTTTTATATTTGTTTTTGTAAACACCAGACAGCAAGTCTTATTAAATATATATGTATTTATATCAACAGAGCATTCTAAGTACAAGAATTTTAGTGTCCTGTTTAAATTAGCTGTAGAACTCTGAATCAGCATGCAGTGACACATTTTAGGAGCCTTTGTAATGGCAATTAAATGACTTGAAGTATACAAGTAGTATACAACTACCTCTACTTAATGTAATCTTAACCCTTTCACATATGGACAGAACGGTACGGAATAAATGTGTTTCTCATTTACAATAAAGGACTTGAGCAGAAAACTCAATGTCACCTATTTACATGGATATTTTCAGTACTGAAAAATAAAGCTTGTGAGCTTGGTGCAAATGAGTAAAATATTTTTAAGGCTAAGGTTGTATGAATTGGTTTATGATTCAAATTTGAAATTATTCAATTCACTTCAGCCTGATTCACCAGTCCTTTCAGGTAAGAGAATATGTCCTGTGTGTTTTCCATACAATGACTCTTGACAGTGGGTCAAGTACTACAAACGGG